TCTTCTTTTATTCAGCTCATCAGCAGCTTATGTTGTGCGATCGCTGAGCTGTAGCTAGAGCTGTGATTGGATATTGCCCCAGGCAAGCCTAAATTATTAGTTTATGCAAATTCCAGCATCTACTGGGTCTCTCTCTCACACACACACACACACACACACACACACACACACACACACACACACTACACCTGCAGTCCATCCACAACAAGGTAGACAATGAAAAATGCCCCGGGACACAAGTCTGCATCAGCCCCCTCTAGGTTATCTTAACAGTTCTTCACACCTGGAGCACAAACACCAGCAAACACAAATATATAAAAACTATGAATAGATTGGAATGGCTCCACAAGACACATGGCTCACACCCACCTGCATTTCTGCCCTCAGCAGACAATGAGCATACCCTGAAGGACTGTAGACTGGGAAACACTGAGATGCTGAATGAGGGGGGTGTAGAAGAGTGCACAGAGAGGCTGAACAGACGCACAATGAGACACACGAACTGGGATGCAGCATAATAACAAACCCTCAGCAAAGCTGCCCTTTGGGAACATTTCTTTTTTTTTAAAAGAAAAAGAAACCTTAAGCTGATTTATTAACATAGATGGAATTCCCATTCACGCAAACCACAATAAAGCACTCAATATTTATGAATAAAAATGATCTAGCACAGACTATGTGTAATGCAACAGAATGGCATCCTGAACAGCCGCTCAAGACTCCCACAAAATAAGGCAAGGCGCGGGGGGGGGAGTCATTTAAGAATTATGTCACAACATCCTGTAATAGTTGGAGCGATCTGAAATTTAAAAATAAATTATGATACAAAAACTTGACTTTATCGTTCCTGTGGAGTGCGTTAAGTGTTGTCCTTTTTGTTACCCCCCCACCAAAACAATTAATGAATTAAAAAAACAACTACAAAAAAAAAAAAAGAAAACTTACCGGAGATCTCAGTCTGAGGAACCCTTTCCGAAGTGAACCCTTTCCCGGTGTAGAACTGCCGCAGGTCGGAGCAGCTTCTATCCGCCCCGGCCACCGGGCCCGGTGCGGCACACAGACTCACCAGCACACAGAGAAGCACCGGCAGACGCATCTTTGGAGGTGTAGTCCTTTTTCCTCACACGCAGAAAATCCCCGACAGTTTTTGGATTAGACCCTTATCCACAGTGTTTAGTTGCCTTTTCTCTTTTTTAATATTATGTTGGTTATTATTCTTCAGAGTTTGGGGGGTGCGGGGGGGTCTGCGAACAAACAAAAGCAACGTGTCCCGTTCAAACTCCACAGATTTCCTCTTAACTAAAACACACACATACACACTCACTCACTCTCACACACACAGCCACGGGAGAGGAGGAGGCGCCCGTGGCAGCCAGTCCGGGATGTTTGTGCGAGAGACGAGGGGCTGCGACGCGCGGGACTGTAGGTGTCAGGTACACCGTGCTGCTCCTCCTCCACCTCCTCCCTCTGCTCGGTGCTGCTGGTTGTGAGCTGCAGAGATGCGAGAGACAAAAGAGAGAGAGAGAGAGAGAGGAGGGGGGTGCGACAGAGTGAGCGAGCGAGGAGGGCAGGTGTCAAAGCCCGTGCAGCACCGCGGTCTGACTGTGCAGCTTCATGATTATGGAAAAAGTGCAACAAAGATCAAAATCAAAAATCAAAAATGTTGCTCTGAATGCGGCTTTAGACAAGAGGAGACATGCCCGGTCCCTTTTCCAAGCTTTGGGACAATGAAATGTGTGTTGGTGGGACGGGAGTGTGCAGCAGTCCGTGCTGATGCTCTCTCTCTCTCTCTCTCGTTCCCTCTCTTTGTCTTGGGTTTTGTGCTGCACTAGCCGTGTGCAAAACAGTGCCACCTGCAGGTCTTTACAAATAAAATATAGCACAGAAAACGTCTTCCAACAGCACACACTCGCTGGCCACTTTATTAGTTACCCGTGTTCAACTGATCCCTCGTGTGAATATCTGATCAGTGCGTTTAGACGTGCAGAGATGCTCAAGCTGAGTTGCTGAAGTTCAAACCCAGAATACGAATGGGGAAGAAATCTGACTGAAGTGACTTTGAATGTAGCACCAAACTGCTGATCTGTTGGGATTTTCCTGCACAGCCATCTGTAAGGTTTATAGGGAACGGCCTGAAAAGAGAAACTATAAAGTTAACGGAGATTCACTGGGTGAAACTGCTTTGTTGAATTCAAAGATCAGAGGAGACTGGTCAAACTGTTTCACAGTATCTCAATTAACTATTCTGTACAACCAAGATATGCAGAAGAGAACCTCTGAATGCACAGCACGTCAAAGCAGAGAGGCTACAGCAGCAGAAGACCACACCAGATGCAACTGCAGTCAACTAAGAACAGGAAACTGAGACGAGAGATGGTTGTCTGGTTCAATTAGCCTTGATTCCTGCTGTGACATTCAGAAAGTAGGGACAGAATTTGGCATAAACATGTATCAGTGTTTCAAGCTTGGTGGTGATCGTGCAATGGTTTCTAATAAATGGTACCTAATTAATACAGATGCATATCAGGGTCTCGGAGTTCTTCTAGTATTTTTGTTGCATTACTCTTCAGGACAGAGAGCTCAGATGTTGCACATGAATATGCGAAGCCTCTAGGGGTTACAGCTTCTAATGCTTCTATTTAACACTGGAGCCACTTTGGACATGACCTTCCACGTCTGCTCCTGTTGTTGCTTCAGCCCCTGGTACTCTCTTTGTCTGATGTCATTGTCAGCTGGAATTACTAAATCTATGTAAGCTCCCTCTGTCCTCGGCTCTTGGCCAACCACCACTATGTATGGTTGGTTGTCCAGCAGCTGCCTGTCTGGAACTTGAAGTCCTGCAGGGCCTTAGCCCTGTTGCCCTCTGACCACTTTCCCACATAGCAAGCAGGTCTGGCCCGGATCAAAGTTCAAGCTGGTCTGGCAATGATGCACTATTTATGTTCCTATTCTCCTATTTTAGTTAGAAGACCCAAATGCCATGTTGCAATACTATACTGCTATGGTAGCCAACGTTTCAAATGCAGGTTTGACAGGTTTGTGAGTGTAACCTTTATCCAAAACCTAGCGACGGTTTACTCATCTTTGCCAGAGGGTGGCTGTAGCTCAGGAGCAGGTCACCTATCGATCAGGTTAGTGGTTCGATCCCTGGCTCCCCAAGTCTGCATGTCAAGAGTGTGAATATGTACGAATGTAGTTAGGAAGCACTCAGTTTAGAGAAAGTGTGTCATTGGGTGAATGTGGCATGTTGTATAGAGCACTTTGAGTAATCCGGGAGAGTGGAAAAGCGCTCTGTAAGGATCAGTCCATTCACTGTCTGAACAGAGTTTCGTCATGTTACTTTTGCACTATTATGTTCTGGCACATGTTGTTATTACATGGCTTGATTAAGGTACACATTAGGCTGACATCTGGGGCCAGAGCTGAAACTGTCCTGGGCCAGCACAGGGCCAGCAGATTGTCTACAACTAGCCCGTGGCTGCACATATCTTACACATGGCCCACATACGCCCACATACTGCAAAGAATGATAGCTCAGTAAGTAGTGTGGTCGCCCTATGATTGGAAAGTCGGGGGTTTGAATCCACTGAACGGCTACCCTGAGGTATCCCTGAGCAAGCTACCATCCCTACACACTGCTCCTCGGTGTGCCTGCTTAGTGGCTGCAGAGAGAGCAATTTCCCCATGAGCATCAATAAAGTATACATTATTATTATTTATCTTATGTCCATGCTACCACATGCTGGACAGTCTCAGGGGAAACGTTGCACAGCTTACACCCTGGGTTCCTTCTGCTGTGGCAGATTCCCGCCTCTGTGGATCTGTTGCTTAGAGCCTGTTCTAATGTTGGACTATGCTATCCTTTTCTAGCAACCGGTAGGATGTCAGCCAGTTTTTCTTTCTGCCGATGAAACACCCCATGGAGGCGCGTGTCTTCCAGAGTATGTCTCCTTTTTCCTTGCAGCACTCAGGTAGCTCTGTACCCCGGGGGACCAACTTCGTGATATATTCATGGATACTCATTCTTTCATCCTGAATAATGGCTCTCACAGTAATCCTCACCCTCCCTCTTTTCCTTGGTTATAGAGTCTTAGGTTGCTGGACTTTGTGTGGAACTGTCTGTACATTGTGAGTTTTCATGTCGTTTGGGCTCGATCTCCCAGCTTAATATACAAAAAGGCAAACTTCGATCACACAATTTTTACTCGCAGAATGTGCAATACAGTGTGGTGCAGCAACATTCCTGGCTCACTATAACTGCCATATCCATAGTGCTGCACTTACTAGTAACAATGACTAAAACTGCTATTGGGAATATAAAAATGTAAAGCTATTAAGAGTCATTAAAATTGATAATAGTCTCTATGTTTTTAGGCTTACAAGACGTTTTGTTAATTTGAATGTTTCTGGTTAAGAACCTACTTTTCTTTCTATTTTCTCAGGCATCTGCTGGCAATAAAATAATATTTGTTCCCATTAGTAGAAAATAACAGTTGACACGAGGAAAGAGAGTATTGGTTTTATTATCCTCATTTCATTTGCACCACCCAGGACTAAAATGATAAATGGCAAATACAACAACAACACTCACAAAAAAAATCTTTGCATAAAATCAAATGCAAGTGTGGGAGTTCATCTGCAGCCATAAATTAAAGTACAATTAGAGATGAGGAAAAAATAAAAAATGTAAAACTTTTTAATGATTTGCTTAAATGAGAGTAATTTGATTTCATTGTATAATTTATTGTGTTGATGTCAAAACCACTTGGATTTCAAATGATTGTGTGTCTGTTCTGCTAAATCTATGCACATGTTAAGGGGAATAAAATTGTTAATACACATTTTAGCTGGAAAATCATACCTGTGACATTAACAGAAAGGTTTTGTTTTTGTTTTTTAAGATATTCTGCAATATTCTGCAGAAACCTCTGCCAGGGACTTTCAAAGCTTAAGGGATTTGGATGATTCCTCAGTGACACCGTGTTCAGCTGGCCCGCAGCAGGCAAATATCAGTCCAACGGCTGCCACAGAAACATAGTGAGGTCAGATTCAAGGGTATATGTGAGCCTTCAAGAGTTTTTTCTACAAGTAAATGCATGAAAGAAGACATATTATGTACACAGAAGAAATTAGCCTTCAGCAAAAAACCCTGATTCATGGAGGAGTCCCAAATGTCTCGTGTGCCACTGTAGGGAGGTCAGTGGCTGGTAGAGATTCAGTGCCTTCCTCCGGCTCAGTTTGGTGTGGCTGGTGGATGTGACCAATGAGCTGTCAGACCCGCTCCAATCTTCTCATCCAACATCCTCCCCCAGCAACAGCATCAGCAGCGCCAGGTCCTCAAGCTGACTGGAAAAGGTCAGTGGCAAGCCTGAAATTTGACTGACACACCAGAAATGCAACTACAAGGTAATGTAGACGTGGCACACAATGTAATGTTGAGTCCCATGTGAGTGATGCTACACAGATTAGACTTTTAGAGCATGTGCTACTACAACTCCAGTTCCCAAAATAAGGACAGGCTACTGTACAAAATGTAAATAAAAACAGAACGAGATGATTTGTAAATCTTACAAACCCATATTTTATTCACAATAGAAATTTGAAAACATATCAAATGTTTAAACAGATTATTTCAAGAAGATATATTAGCTCATTTTGAATTTGATGGCGGTGAAGTGAGTGAAAAACGCTGGGATGGGGGAGGAGCATTTCACAACAAATTAGATGAACTGGTCACAGGTCAGGAAGAACAGTTTCAGAATAATGATTCTCAACATAAAATTGCAACAACTTTGAATATCTCACCATTTACATAATATCAAAAAAAGATTCAGAGAATCTGGAGAAATCCCTGTGCGCGGAAGACAAAGTTGAAAGTCACTGCATTCAAAACAGACACGATTGTGTCACTGTCAGTGAACACAGTTTGCAGTGCCATCCACAAGCAGAGGTTCAAGCTCCATCGGGCACAACAGCAGGGCTACAAGAAGAAGCAGAAGAGTCGGTGTGCTGAACAGGCCAACCTAGAGTCCAGACTTTTCACCAACCGAAAACATTTGGAGCACCATAAAACCAAAAATACTATAAAGAATAGTA